CAGAAAGCGAGAAATTACCCCCCGGGGGGATGGCCATGCCGCAATCCCTTTTCTTCCATTCTCCTCTTGAGATCTTGGGCATGCACACACACGTGCCCAGCCTGAGTTTAAGCCACCGGGTCCAGGACTCAAACCATGGTCGACTACATAGGAGTCCAGTGACATAGCCATTACGCCAACTGTTGGTCCCCTTTCTTTTCTTAAATGTTATCAAAAGAATTATTTATTTTACTTACTGTTGTTTTTAATTTGATATAGAGCATATGTTCTCTCCAGAGAGAGAGAGAGAAAATGAGAAAGCAAGCCACAAGGGCCAAAATTTGAACCATGGTCAGCCAGGTATGAGCCCAGCACCTTAACCACCAGGCCACCTGCTGGCCCCAGGAGGTGATTTCTCTCCCTCTATCTTCAGTCTCTCTCCAGTGAGTTTAATTCTCTCCAGAATTAAACTTTACTCAACTCTCTCTCTCTCTGTGTGTGTCTTCAGTCTCACTCCAGTGAGTGCATGAGCCCTACAGCAATCTAAAAAAGCAAACAAACAAAAAACATGGGGAATGCATGTAAGTGCCTGCCCTAAAAATCCAGAGGGAATAGAGGAGAAGGGATTGTGGGGTGATCTGAGGATGGTAGAGGTGGAGTGTGTGTGTGGGGGGGGTGATTTCTTACTTTCTGTCTCTCTCCAGGAAGTACAAGTGTCCTACAGCATATTTAAATTAACAAAATAGAAATAAAACACTCATATTTCATTACTTCGATCAAATTACTGAATAAAATCAAAACTACAAATAGGTACCGGAATACTCCGGCTTTCTGCATCATTCCAACTTTTATGTTACATATATCATGAAACAGGTATTCTCACTATCTGACTCTAGATTTGCTGCTATCAAACTTGTAGATAAATAGTGTAAGAGCTCTAAGGGGATTCTATACCAAAGCACACACACCAGCTTTGATTGTTATCAGGAGTTATTTGAAATAATAGTTCCTTTTAACGAAAATGGGGTGGACTTGCTACAAGTCTTCATTAATTACTGACTTAATAATTTATTCTACCAGGACCAGTATGTAGCACAGTGGTTAAGGGCACTGGATTCCCACACGGCCGACCACGGTTCAAGTTCTGACCCTGGTGGCTTGCTTTCTCACTTTCCGTCTCTCTCTCTCTCTCTCTCTCTCTCTCTCTGTTCCTCTCTGGTCAAATTTTAATTAATTAATTAACTAAAATAATTCTTTAAAAAATCATTTATTCTTCCAGTAACATAACAAAATTTCAATCAGTTTCATAGCAGCAAATTAAGTTCAGAAGTGTTTTCAAGTGTTCTAAGTCATCTCCTACTTTGTCTATTGTTAGTGACTGACCCCTAGAGAAAAAACTCTAAGGAGCTTAGAAATTCAAAAGTTTAGTCAACTAGGTCAAGAAACTGTACAAAAAGATAGCAAGGTCAAAAAATATTTTACAATATGCAGAAAAGGTAGAGAAAACCAACTATTTCCATCATATTCCCCCAAAGCTAAGAATCACACAGTTGAGAGAGAATCATCAAAAGCAGGATTAATAAAAGACAAAAAAAAAAAAAGAGAGAGCGAGAGAGAGAGAGAGAGAGAGATGTCTCACAAGTATCCATGCAGATCCAGTGGTTAAAACAGACTGGAGGGGGACCAGCAGTTAGCCTAACGGCTATGTCACTGGATTCCCATGTATTCTACCGCGGATCAAGTCCCAGACCCGGTGGCTTAAACTCACGCCAGGCACATGTGCGTGCGTGCCCAAGATCCCAGGAGGAGAATGGAGGAGAAGGGATTGTGGCGTGGCCATCCCCCCTGGGGGGTGATTTCTCACTTTCTGTCTCTCTGTTTCGCTCTGTCTTTCTGGCGAGCGCACATGCCCTATAGCAAAAACCTCTCCAAAAGAAAAAGAAAAAAAAAAAAAAAACCAGACTGGAGGCCAACTATTGATATTTCATGGGGTGAAAAAAAAGATCACTTGGAAACCTATTAAGGTGTAAAAATCAGTTATATGCTGAAAATTTTAAATAACTGGCAGTCCCACTGTCTTCAGAAACAATTATGCCAAGTAGAGAGAAGAGTTTAATTTGAAAATAAATTATACTAAATATTCAAGGACTAACATTTGATATGGGAGAAGAGTGGCAGAGAAAGTTCTGTGCCAACCTTTAACTGCAGCTGTAGTGGAACACACTAAAAGCTTTGTTTTAAGACAAAAGCAATGAAATAAAAAACAATGGTTTTAAATCTATCCCGTGTTAGCTGCTCATGACCATAAATTTGCCTTTTTGCCAAATGAAGGACTAATGAAATAAACGGCCACACAATAAAGGAGAAAGCAGAAGAAAATGCAATTGAACAGACTTTTCATGCAAGATTAAAACAAAAACTGTTTAAGAATTTTCACTTTTTAGTGTCAAAAATTGAGAAATCTAACACATACCAAAACAAACAAAAAAACAGATTAAACCATTCGCTATAAACGGAACTGAAATTTAAAAACACTGAATTTAAATGGGTGCATACTACAAGGAATCCTTCTAATACTACCTATTCTAAACTGAAAGGGTTCTCCACACTCCTTTCTCAGTCACTTAGGCAAAATGTTACAACCTGCAGCACATTATTTTCTTTCACATACTTGGGTTTGTTTTTTTTTTTTTTAACTGCACTAAAGTGAGATTATTCTATTAGTAGACATTCACCTTAACTATCAGTTGTCCCAAGCAACAATACTTTTTAGAAATTAAACTTTACTGGGACCAGCAGTTAGTGTAAAGGCTATGTCGCTGGACTCCCATGTGGTAGACCGTGGTTTGAGTCCCAGACCCAGTGGCTTAAAACTCATGCCTGGCGCATGTGCGTGCGTGCCCAAGATCCTAAGAGGAGAATGGAGGAGAAGGAATTGCAGCGCGGCCATCCCCCCTGGGGGGTGATTTCTCGCTTTCTGTGTCTCTGTCTCTCTCTGTCTGTCTGGCAAGCACATGTACCCTACAGCAAAAAAAAAAAAAAAAAGAAATGAACCTTTACTCAACCAAAGTTGGCCAGTAGATTTTGCTAAACAACCCTTTGCTAGAAAAGTTATCACACAAATCCATTTTGTGCAGCTAATTGTTCTAGCACCCATAATGAAAACTGATTATTTTGACAATAGAGCAGGTGTCTGAACATGAACACAGAAGAACCTTTCCAATTGTCACTAATAACTTGTACATTATTAGTAATTTCAAATATCTGCATCTGATAAGTACAGTGTGTGCTGACCACAAAAGATGAAGTGTGCAATTAGCAAAGGGTACCACGCTTACGTAATATTCTAAAAATGTGCTTTTACTAGATATTCAATGACTATCACAAGCGTGATCATTAACCTTCCCATATCAATCCCATTTCCTACAAAGGTGACCCAATTTCAAGCCTGAAACTGAAGCTTCTACCTTTAGAAGGATAGAAAACAGGAGTTAAGTAATTGGGTAGTCCTAAAAATACACATCACAACTACATGACTAAGATACTCATTTAAAACTCGTGCCAAGATAACCCCTCCCTTCAAAACAAACTAAAATTGACTCACTGGCCTATTTTTCTTAATTTTGGAAGTAAAAAAGAAAAAAAAAACCTAAATGGATTCCTAAGTACTTATTTCCTGTCTCTGCTCCTACCATCTGAAACATTCAAACCTTCAATGTGTGGTTTTCTCCCTGCAAAAACGCTAAAAAAGTAAATAAACAAAAAGTCAGTTTCTCCAAGTTACCTACTTTAGGCTTAAAAAAAAGGAAATTCCTGTATTTGGGAATTTTAATTACACTAAAATCATGTAAAACAATAGAAACAATACCTATGGTTGCTAAAGAGACATCCTACCCAGAAAAACCTCATCTCAGATGATAGTTTTCATCTATGAGAGATCCCATTTGCTAAAGTTAACCACCTGAGCAAAAGGCTTTAATTTTTGTCTCTCTAAAGTGGCAAATTATCAATCTCCCTACATAACATGTTCTTCCCTCTAAAAGGAAATTCCTGTATTTGGGAATTTTAATTACACTAAAATCATGTAAAACAATAGAAACAATACCTATGGTTGCTAAAGAGACATCCTACCCAGAAAAACCTCATCTCAGATGATAGTTTTCATCTATGAGAGATCCCATTTGCTAAAGTTAACCACCTGAGCAAAAGGCTTTAATTTTTGTCTCTCTAAAGTGGCAAATTATCAATCTCCCTACATAACATGTTCCACCCTCTGTGAATATTTCTACATGTAAAAAAAAAAAAAGAAAAAGAAAGAAAGCTAGTAAAGTTGGTACAGAGGACAAAGGGCATTCTGAAAGGCCCACTGGGGTAAATGGAGAATAAGGACAAAAAAAAAAGGACTAAATTAAAGTTCCTCCAAGTGGTTAATGATAAGGAAATGTAGGTGCCCCCCCTCCGGTTTTTTCAAAACCAACCCTAGGGTCCTAGTCTTACATTACCGCCCACTGGAATGTAAAGTTGGAACTACCCAAGAAGCCCAACGAATCCTCAAAATGTCAGGGCACAAGGCGGCCTCTGGAATGACAGGCTAATGCCCCTCCCCCACCCCACCCCCCAAAAAAGAAAAGTCCAATCCAATAAGTGCAGGTCACCCTGCCCTCTGGGGCAGTTCCAGCCAGCGCGGGGAGGGTTCTGATGGAAGGACAAGAGAGGAAAGGCAGACCACCTCTCTTCACATAGACCCGCAACTAGGGAAACAAAACAAAGACAGCCCTCCTACGGTAGCCACTGCCCTAGCCCGAAAGGCTTTCCCGTTTCCCGGTGCAGTGGGGCCTC